TTTGCAAAAGTAGAGTAAAAATACATAACTCAACATAAAGTCTAACAGCTTTTGGCTTTAATAGGAAGATTAATCAATTTGTTTTTGTCTTATGAACTTTTTATTGCCATTTTTCAGTTTCGCAATTAAATGATGCTATTATTTATAAAACTACATATGGTGTAATAGTATTTTTTTGAGATAGATCTGAAAAATGTGTCAGGATATTTTGTATTATGCACATCACAACTCATCCCATGCATATCCATTTTTCTATATTTTCCAAACTTCTGATTCTGATGGTCATCTAACTAAAATTTCTATTAGTGTGCTTCGATTTCCAGTTATCAAAATAAGAGTCTATTCATAAAGAAGGAAAAATAACTTCAACAGTTAACATTCACAGTTCAATAGACTATCTGAATGCTAAGTCTATCACATCTATGACCGCTTCTTACGTCTATGGTTTCTTGAAAAAGACACGTAAAAATATCTGACAACTTTTAAATTAGCATCACGTAGAAAATCGAAGAATCCGTGAGAGAAAGGCACTGAAAAAAACTCGGAGTCGTTTGCAATAGGATTTGAATAAATCTTACTAAAAAAAAAGCTTGCCAGCGCAGCTCCTTTGGAGCTGAAATGTGGAACTCACGTATATTCTTCCACATTTTTATCCTAATGCATTACTTGTAAAATAAAAAATACTTTTTTTTTCAAATATTTATCAATGCATTAGAATTTTGTATAGAATCTGAATCTTTCTGTGCGCAGTTGCTGAGATCTGTAATGAGAGGTTATCTGAAATGTTGGCATGTCTGTAATGGTGGGGTGTCTGTAATGTTCTCTCTCCAGTTGCTAAGTGTGTGTAATGGGGTGGGGAAGGAGAGAGGAGGGAGGAGGGTGGGTGTGGTTTACCTTGTCATCAACAACTACACCCACACCCTCATTATTTACTTTCGTTTTTATACTATTTTCCATTATCAGTTGTTAATAAACTTGTTTGTTTAAGTTGAGACCGGTAGAACCACTATCAATCACCAGATTTGATCAAATAGGATTCTTCGCTAAATTATTTTTTATCAGTTACAATATTATCTATTTGGTATTGTCTATTTGTTAATATTATTTATCTACTGTCATCATCAGTGTGTCCCAAAGCTCTGAAGAAGCCTTTTCTTCTCGCAATCGATCGCATGATTTCTGAGCAGTTCATCAGACATTATCAATAAATATTATTGATATTATACTATATCAAATTGTTTCAGCTCTTCAATATCTTCATGGGAATGTTACAGCTGATTATGTATTTATATATTTCCTGGATGAAGTACAAGACAATACTTCAATTAAATTAACAAATATTGATAATATAGGATCGGAAGCATCATCAAATGAAATTCATTCTGACAAATCTGATGCATATGCATTTAGTAAACTTGCTCGTGAAATGTATTTATTACAATAAGAAAACAATGATTAACATTTAAAAGTACGAGAAATTTTATTTCAACGTTGTTTGGTACTTAATCAAACTGAATGACCGACATTTAATGAATTGTCACAAGCTAAAAACAATTTTATTTTTAAATCTAAAATCATATTGATGATATTTGTACTTTGTATTGGTATGAATAAAGAATATTTAATTTTTTACATGAAAATATATAAAAACAAAACTAAAAAGATTTTTTGTTATTAA